TGGCGAGAAGCTGTACGATTCGACACTATGGAGTCTATGGCAGTCTATGGAGGGGTGACAGGGCATGCCTTTGGGGTAGCTTATTCCAATGTTTCCACATGCTTGCAACATGTTGTTACCCTGATGCAACGCTTGCTGCCGCTTTTCAGCTGGCTGTGCTGAAAGCATCGCTGAGCTGACGGCGTGCCGTGCCTGGCTGGGCTTGGTCCGGAACCACGAAGTGGGGTCTTGAAGCCGGACACGCGCGGCTTTTTCCAGCCAATCTTTGCCGGAAAAAGGATCGGCTGGTTTGTTCTGGGTGATTTGTGTTGGGTTTTACAAGTGGCAACCTTGCATGTGCATCCCCCGGAAGATGAAGGCCGGCACAGCAGATTACTGGAAGCATACACGGCAGGTGGAAGATCCGCGGGCGGCGGCCTTCGGCGGCATAGCATGAGTGCTATTCATTCGCGTTTATTGTTTAATCTACCCCAAGCCCCATTCTGATGAAGGACCCTATATAACACACTTTCGCTGTCGCTTTCGCGGACTCTCCCAAAATGACGACTCTGAGCTTTTCATCGCGAACTGGCAGGCTACTTCTTGGGCAACGCCGCGCCCCCGCCCTCCGTCACCGTCGAGCTGCTGTTGCAGGCATGAAGGGGGATTCGGGACGTGGCCGCAGGATAGACGTCAGGAATTATGGAAGTAATGCGATGCATCCAGGTGCAAGTGTCCCAAGTTGCTGTAAGCCCTCTAGTCTTTGTGCATGCGCGTCAGAGGATATCTGGGTCTCCGGCGCCGGCGTTGGCTGCACCATCAACGGTCTGTACTCCCGGATCGGCTCATTGAATGGACGGCCGAAGTACCAGCAGGTGCGATGAGTCACAGCTCAGCTTGAAAGGAGCTTGAGCCTGGCCTTTCAAGTAGAAGTGAGCTTCAAGAGATCTTGGGTTCAGCCCTACCGGAACAGTCACTGCCCGGGGCATCCTTTGCCGCGGACATAGCTACGGGCCCCAGCCCTAGACGACTTCGGGCGCAGCCCGACGTGGCCTTGAGGCCAAGCCAAGACCGGAACAACAAGCCACGACTAAGTTGCAACTTCTGCGATGGATGTTTTGGACTTCGGGTTTCTGGGAACCCGAAACTCACACCCTAGACCGACGTCAGGTGAATGGCCATGCCATTGTGTACTTCAACGAGCACTGGAAGATCAATGACCGCGATGATGCTGGGCCCAATCGCAAGCAGTTCGGGTGCTTAAATTTGACTCCTGAGGAGGTTGAGGTTTTGGGGTATATAAGGGTTTGGTGGATTCTGGATAGATGTGTTTAGGCCCCTTTGCTGGAGCGTTCAAGGCTGAGATTGGAGAAAGATGAAAAGGGCTGCTTCTTGCCGTTGTTGGACTAGGATGCCGCGCCGAAGAGTTGGACCCAACCCGCATAACCTAGATAAGGAAGCAAGTGCAGGGCAAGCGTCGAAATTACTCAGGATGTGTCAGGCTGGCATTACCAGCATCCAGATACGACGTCCGAGACGCCGCCTAGTGGCCACTTGTCGTCATTCGCATGCCCCTACCAAGGAATTCTTATCGGAAGCCTCGTAGGCTTTTCCGGAGACCGCGGTTTTGCTACTGCCTTGGTTCGGGGTGCAGTTCGAGGCGCTATAGGGATTCAGGAGTCCTTTCGACAGACGATAAACTGTTTTCATATACCATGGCATAGTCTAAAAACGGAAACGCTTCCATAGTATAGATTATACAGTATAACATATTCGAGTCTATCCTCGAATGTCGGAGTATGTTTGTGGCATTATACTTTAATATGGTAGGCGATAACCTAATATGACATAATACACGCTCAGGTCGATGGAAAATGTGTCTTGATTCCCAAGAACTGCCAAGGCTACTGGACGTCTGAGGGCTACTTCTTTGACGACGCCGACCCCCAACCGGTGGTCGCCAGTATCACACTTGAGGCCAGCTTGTTCGAGGGAGTTGCTGATAAAGATGCTTCCCATCGCACAGGTTCAAGCTGTCAAGTCTTTTGCGCACCTGGGGTCCCTGCGGTTGCGTGTTTTCTGTGTTCAAAAGCCGTGGCAAGACCCAGCACTCTATACATCTGCTCGTAGCAAGACTGCAGCTCTGGTTGAAGGACCGTCTAGAACTTACTACTGCTACTGCTACTACTACGACTACAGCCCCCTTTCTGCTGGTTTTGTGC